AAAAATAAGATTTACAAGTTTTTTTATTCAAAATCCATGTTATAATTAAATATTTAATAATTCTATTCTTTAATATTAATAATATTATAAAAATAAAATAAATCTACAAACCACCACCAAACCCTAAATAATTCCCATCTTTTCCCTCCCTTCTCTTTCTATCATATGATCTCTCTTCCCTCTCCAGCTGCCCAACCACCACCAAACGGTGCCACTCTCTTCGACGAAGTAGCACACGAGGTCGCTTCGCTGGAGAGAGTAGCGCTCGCCGTTGTGAACCCTAAATCATTTCCATCTTTTCTCTCATTTCTTTTTCTATCATATCCTCTCTCTTCCTTCTTTGGCTGCCAAACCACCACCAAGCGACGTCGCTCTCTCCGACGAATTCACATATAGCGTCGCTTCGTCGAAGAGAGCAACATTAGCCGTTGTGAACCCTAAATCATTTCCATCTTTTCTCTTCATTCTTTTTCTATCCTATCCTCTCTCTTTCCTCTCCGGTTGCCAAACTACCACCAAGTGGTGCCGCACTCTTCGGCGAAGCTGCGCATAGCGTTGCTTCACCGGAAAAAGCGACGCTCATAGCCGTGAACGCCTTTCTCAACAACGAACAGCGTTTTGAGGTGCTTCATAGCGGTGTTCAGTGTCGCTGCGAAGTGTCGTTCACGTTGGCCTGCAAGTGCGAGGAGATCTGTTCGGTGCAAATGTGTATTGAGACTTATTGTTTTCGAGACCTTCTTCCTAATGCAGGTGTGAGTCGATCTGGGAGGAGACGCGACAACATGCAATATTTTTGGGGGTGATTTCTAGTTGATCTGGCCGATCAAATTTTTTGGTGGGTGTATCCAAATGGTGGTGGTGGGGTAGGTTTGGGTGGGAAGATTGTATGTGACCAATTATTTGGGTGTCATGATCAATAAATTCTTAATTTGTGATCAATAAATAACATGTGACTTAGAAGATTGTGATTAAATTTGAAGATGTGACTCATAATTTGGTAAATTGTGACCAATTAATTTAATAATTAGTTATCATAAAATAAGTTGTGATATATCAAATTTGTGATCGCTAAATAATTGGTGATCTATAAACATGCAATTGTGATCATAATATGTTTAATTAATAAAATATATTTTTAAATAAATAATTCGTAAATAAATTTAATTAATATCTGATTTTTGAAATAATAAACATTGTTTCTTTATTTTGAAATGGATCCTACTCAATTTCTCACGTATGGCCATGAAATTTGGGATAATTAGGTCCATTACTTTAAAAGAAGAAATAGTTAGAATAATACGCTTAAACTTAATTATATCTCTAATTACAATATTAATTACGTTATGCTAAAACTCATCCAGAAACATGGACGGACAAACCCTTTCTTCCAATCTAATTTTTCTCTCCTTAAAAATTTTATTATTAAAATATTTTCGTTCAATGCTGTATTTTAGGCTACAATTATCCATTTTGATCGATTCAAAAATCTATTAGAAGCTTACAATACAATCATGATAAATATGTTATGGATGATATTTAAAAATAAAAATAATTATCTTCCATAAATTATTAAACATAAAACTATGTTTATTAAATTTTATTTTTATTTTTATTTTTTTCCTAATCGATAATAATGTAAAAATTTATGAAATTTAAACCATAACTATTAATTTCATTTCTTGTGGTCATTTTCGACTTATAATTATGAGCTAATCATTTACTGATTTTAAATTCGAAAGATGCATGTCAAAATTTGTCATGGATACTTTGATAAGATAACAAAAACCTCACCTCAAGAGTGAAGAAACATAGCCCTTGAATAAGTCAAAATGTTTTTTTAGGTGACATAATATGTCACATTTTCGAGCGTTTGTAAATTTTTTTTAGTTTTTATCTTTTTTTTTAATCTTTGGCACTTTTTTTTAAAAAATTTTCTATCACTTTTTTTGAAAACGCGCCACTTTTTTTAGTGTGTCACTTTTATGAATTTCTGTAACTTTTTTAAATGTATTTCTTTTTTTCAATTCCTGTCACTTTTTTAGTGTTTGTCACCTTTTTATTTTGTCACTTGTTTTGAATTTGTATCACTTTTTTTTTTGTATATGTCACTTTTTTAAATTTCTGTTACTTTTTTTAATGTTTGTCTTTTTTTTTATTATTTGCCACTTTTTTTTTTCTTTTTTTATTTCGTGTCACTTTTTGAGTATTTGTCACTTTTTTAGTGTATGCTATTACTTTTTTAAGTGTCTCACTCTCTTTGACTTTTCATCGCTTTTTTGAGTGTTTGCCATTTTTTTGTCACTTATTTTAAATTTGTATCACTATTTTGTATATATCACCTTATTTATTTATTTATTTATTTCTATCACTTATTTGAGTGTTTGTTACTTTTTTAAATGTAAGTTATACCTGTAAATAATAATCTTCCAACAACAAAAGTTAATAAGTAAGTTATTTATTTAATTTACTGTCAAAATAATTAAAATTTTACTTGTAAAAATTTAAATATCAACGCTTTAAACTTGTCCTTAAAAAACTTGGAATAGTTTGTTTGGCCACAATTGTCAGAAATGCAACCATGTTGGTCAATTTGAACATTGGACAAAAAATTACCCTATTTATTATTTCTAAATAACTTTTAGCATGATTTTTCTAAATGCCTCACATTTTATGGGTATTTATGTAATTACCCCGTGGTTTATTGCAGACTACTTTTTATTGTTTGATTTCGTATGGGCCACTAACATGTTTTATGATAGTAAACTAGTAATGGTGGCTTTTTTATGTGCTCATTTGTATTGGGTTAATTATTGTATTTAGCGAAAAATTTATTTCTCTTACTTTATCTTTACCCTATATATATATATATATATATAAAACCCACCCCCACCCCCACCACTCCCGCTACCGCTCATGTGACTATTCCGGCGACCATTCCGACTCCTGCAACTACTTCGACGATCGTTCTGATTCCGACGACTGTTTGGACGACTACTTCGATTCCTGTGACCGTTCCGACGACTGCTCCGATTTCGACGACTCAAGTCATAAGTCACAGCTCAGTTCACAACTCAAGTCACAGTCCAGGTCACAACTCAAGTCACAAGTCACAGTCCATGTTACAAATTAGGATTTTGTTCATAATCACGCGTTATTTTCAAATGATCACAGTACATGTTACAAAATATTTTTACACTTGGCTTAGATTAATATTTAGTCACAAATTGTAGAATTTTAATGTCACAGCATTGGTCACATAGACTATATAGCACCACATCACCACCACCACCGTCTTACATACCCTAACCCTACTCTGCCTCTGTCACCACAGCCGCCGCCTCCACATCTCTACAACCAACCAACAGTCCACCTAACAATCAACCACATACAAAAGCCAGAAACCTCAGATTCATTCAAAATTAACCTGATTTTTTGAAGCTGACTGATAGATCGAATAAAAAAATCCCAAAAAATGAGGCAGCTGACTGATTTTTCGAAGCATCGTTGATCCGTTTGCAGCAGCGACGACCACTGCATCCAGTCTTGGAGTGGACGCCACCGGATGTTGGGAACGAGGGCGTTCGAAACAGTGAGGTTGATAACACTGTTGCAAATTAGGGCTAAGGGGAGAGTGAAGGAGAAACAACGTTGCCCCTGCGAATTAGGGCAGCTCGCGACGCTACTGCTAATTAGGGAAGGGTCAAATCGCCGACAGCAGCGTGGAGAAGAGAGGAGAAATGGAGGGAGGGGAGGAGAATGGGAGGGAGGCGTCGCGGCAGCGTGGAGAGAATCGCTGACAGCGATGACGTGGAGGGGGAGAGGGAACGGGAATCAGAGAAGAAGGAATGATTTATGGTTGATTTAGGGAAGGGGGGTTAGGTGTATATAAATTATTTTTTATAATATTATTATTAATATTTAATTAAATCTAAAAAATCTGTATCTATATATAAAAAATCAGATTTTTGAAAATTAAAGTATGAAATCTGATTTTAGAATTTCAATTTCCAATTGTAGGG